TCTAAATAGCCTACTATTATTCCCTTAAAAGCTCTATTATCTAGCGTATCTTTAAGGTCTTTATTCTTATAATATATAAGGCTTCCGAAGGTCTTAATTTTATTTAAGGTCTCGAAGGGTAGTATTATATTATCCCTCTTTTTTATAGGACTTTTAAATCCTATCGTAGAATGCGGTAATCTATTATATAAATAGGTAGCTATTAAAATAGCTTCTCCCTATAGATATTTAAGAAGCCTAGTAGTAAATAAAAGAGCTTATACTCTTTCTAATATAGTACGATTTATTCTTTCTATTCTACCGTTAGATTCTAGCGTCCTAGGAGGACTAGAATTAAAGGTAATTCCTTCTTTTTCGCAATAGAGCTTTATTTTATATATAAATTCTTTAGCATTATTAGAAAATGCTTCTCTAATCCTAGTATTTTTAGGGTTATTTTCTACCCTATTTTTAAATTCTAGGAACCTATCTAGAGCTTCTCCCTTTTTTCAAAGAAGGTATATTTCTAGATATCGGGTTCCTACGTCTAGGAAAGAAATATAATAGTAATATTTATTATAAGTAGGCACTTTAATTAGCCCCTAAATATCTAATACTATTTTTTCTAAATAAGAATAAGACTTATATAAAGGTTATTTATTAACCTTATTCGTTGCTTTAGCTTTAATATATATTTCGTATTACCTTATTTTATTTTCCTCTTTTAAAGGCATTTCTATATCCTTATTATATCTTTTTAATATTTCTAAAATAGCCCTACTATTTATATGCCCTAAGCGTAAGTACTAAGTATAAAAATCTATATCCTTTGCTTTTAAAGACGTAATAAGGATTAATTAGCTTTCTAATAAAGGTTCTATAGGAATATAATATAATTTATTTCTAAGAAATCCTTTAGTAAGGACCTTAGCCTTATTATCTAATAAAAGGACTTTATTTCCTCCTATTAAGGCATAGGTATTATTAAAATAAGATTAAGATAGTAAGCTAGCTTAGAATGCTAGCTAAGACCTCTTAAGAATACCGGCACGACTAACCTCCTTTAAATATAAATATTAGTAGAACTAAGATACTTCTAGATTTACTCGAGGCATTACGGAATTCCCTAGTCTTAGGGCTATATAGCAGCCTAAATCTAGTCCCGAAAGGTTCTTCCGTTTAGCTATAATTATCTATATAAGACAGCATGTCCGCTAGTAGATAGATTAAGAATTATTAACTTTAACACCTCTTCTATATACTAATATACTACTAATAAATTCCGTTAAAAATCCTACCTTATACTCCTTCTTCCCCTCTATTATATAGTCTTATATAATTCCTTGATTTCCTAAAATTCCGCTTTTGCTTATATACCTTAAAAGAAGGTAAAAGAGGTTAAGGGGAATTTCGAAAGGAATTTTAATTGAATATTTCGACGAGGAATTTTAAAGGTATAAGTAGTTAATTTCCTAGCTTAAAAGGAGTAAGCCGGGCTTATAACCTCTTAAGGTATATAAGCAAAAGCGGAATTTTAGGAAATTAAGGAATTATATAAGACTACGTAATAAAGGGGAAGAAGGAGTATAAGGTAGGATTCTTAATAGAATTTATTAGTAGTATATTAGTATATAGAAGAGGTGTTAAAGTTAATAATTCTCTATCTATCTACTAGCGGATATGCTGTCTTATATAGACTATTATAGCTAAACGGAAGAACCTTTCGGGACTAGATTTAGGCTACCGTATAGCCCTAAGACTAGGGAATTCCGTAATACCTCGAGTAAATCTAGAAGTGTCTTAGTTCCACTAATATTCGTGTTTAAAGGAGGTTGGTCGTGCCGGTGTTCTTAAGAGGTCTTAGCTAGTATTTTAAGCTAGCTCTATTCCTTCGATTCCCGATTATACGATAACCGGTAACCCGTTTAATGCATAAGGATATATAAAATAACGAGCGATTCTTACTCTATAGGATAAGATTTTGTCTATAGTTATTATACTACTTATTAGCTTATATAATTAGGAGAGTATATTATAGCTGCTTTATTTATAGTAGGAACACCGTTCCTTATACTATAAGAATATAGTAGGGAAATTATAAAGAAATACTTATACGTACCTAAGGAGAATACTAAGAAATATTACTAATATACTATATTACTATTATACGATTATAAGGTTAAGATATTACTTAGTTAAAGCCCTAAGTAAGGTCTTATACTTACTATAGTATATATAGAGGATAGAGAACCTATTAAATCTTAGGTAAGTAAAGAAAAATATATATAGTTATTACTACTCTTACTTTAACTTATAAGACTAGTAGCTAGTCTATATTTAACGCGCGTAATACTATATAGTAGCTAGTCTATATAATATATTTAATTATATATAGTAGCTAGTCTATTTAATTACCCGTTTAACCTATACCGGATCTAGGTAGATAGCTAGGTTAAAGTGCTAGCCCTATACTAACGGACTAGTATATAATAAAAGCTATTTTAAAAGTTAACTATAAACTTTCGCTACTAATAATAATATAAATATACCTAATATTTTATATCTTATTATTAGAACCAGCGTTATAAAATAATAAACTATAAGAAAAGATTAAAGTTAATAACGATTAAGAATATAAAGCTAAATAAATCCTAGACGTTTAAAGATAAGGTTGGTAATAGGAATACCTAGTAGAATAGAAAGGATATAGACTAGAGGAAAATATATAGGAACCTACTAAATATCTAACCTATTATAGTTCGCTCCTTTAATAATTTAATTAATAAAGATTAACCTCTTAATAAAATAGGATTTTCCGGTACCGACGAATCCCTAAGTAACCTAAATTAGGCTAAAATAAAAGGAGATAACGATACCTAGGAGTATAAGGAATCCTAATCCTTAACGAAGTCTAAAGGTAACCGATCGTTATAAGGGGTAAGCGGCCGCGCCTCCTCTACCTATTACCGCTCCTTCTCGACCTCCTCTTTCTCGATATACTTTAACTCCTTAACGTTATCGATACTATAAGAGATCGCTTATATTATTTTCTCGAACTATAGTTTCTTTTATTTTTAAAGATAAAGGACCTTTATCTCTACCTCCTTTAGCTCTTATTTAAACTTAATATATTAATTAGCGATATTATATAGCTAAGAGGATAATACGCCCCCGATATTATAATAAGAAATATTTTAGCGTACGTATATAATATATTGTTCGGAGTTTAGCGCTACCTAATAATTATTAAAGCTATAGCTTCTATAAGTAGAGTATATAAGAAGAGTTATAATCGTAGGATTTAAGAGGATCGCGTATAATAGAGCGTTACGACGTTTAGTAGAACGAGCTTTCGGTTTCTATTTAAGAACTTAGTTAGGCGATATAACGGGCTATAGTATAAAGAAAGGAGAAGAATATACTTATAAGAGGAAGTCTAGTCGGAAGGTAGTAGGGCGGCTAAAGTAGGTCTTAAGGATAAGACTAAAAAGAGGGGAGACCTTATATTACGAACCGACTAAGTATTAGTTATATAGGACCGTGCTATTAGTAGAAAGGTATAGGATAGACGTATAATAGGCCGGTTATATTATATAACCTATAAGGTAATTATTTAGATTACTAAGTAATTAAGGTAATTAAGGTAAGTAAGGTAATTATTAATTATTAAGGATAATTAACGATCTATAAATAGTATTACCTTATTTACTAAATAATCTACGAAAGACTACTAGGTATATAAGGACGCTTAATTTTACTCCTTTAAACTAAATAGCTCGATAGCTTTTAATATATTATAATTATTACGATCTTTATTACGATCTTATCTTTAATTCTAATTACTTAATTACTTAGTTATAGTCTATAGTCTATAACCTCTAACTTATTACTAACGTAATATACTTATTATTACTTAGACCACGCCCTATTATATCTACTAATATAAACCCCTCGATAGGTTTATCCCTTAAGAATAATACCGGTCGTTATATTAGGGCCTTCTACTAGACCTTATAGCGATCGAATTATAGCTAGAACCTTTTCTTAAGGTTATAAAAGGAGTCCTTTATATCCTAGTATTGTTTATTATAGCCTATTTACCCTATAAGGAATATAGCCTTAGTTTTATCTTCTTATTAAAAAGGTCTCTCTTTAAGGTTAATAATAAATTACTCCTAGTCTAGCTATTAGGGCTATTTAAGCTCCTTTATACCGTCTAAGTTAGTATATTCCTAAATCTTATAAGTCTAGGCCTACGATTTAATCCCTTTAATCTATAGGGTCTAATTAAGGCTTTCCTTTAGTCTTACGATATAATTATCCCCTCTTACTTCCTTTAACGTTATCTAAGGAAAATTAAAGGTTCTAGCTTAATAAGTAATATCCTTCTTTAAGGGATATATAATTTATATAATTCGTATATTTCTAGTAGTGCCCCTTAGTATAGCTAGGTTCCTTGCCTTAATACTATAATTTAAGCGTTATAACGGCATTAATAGCTCGTAAATAGCTTTAAAGGTAATATCGGCGGGCAAACGATAATCTAGCTATATAGACCGGGCTTATAACTCTTAAGCAGGGGCTTAAGAGCATAGTAGAAGAAGTAGGGGCATAGAAAGGTAAATTTTATAATGCATATCTTAGTCTATCTATTAGGATAAGGGAGGGGCTTATATAGGTATAGTAACTATATATAGCTAGCTAAAGGAGGGCATTAGGATATTCCTATACCTAAGTTAAGCCTATATAATGTCCTTAGGCTAGGGGAGTTATATTAGTTAGGCAGGCTTCCTTATGCATAACTATTAGGTCTACTAGGCATAACTATGGCCTCTTATGCCCACTCTCCTCAACAGTAACTGTTTAGGGCTGAAAGCCTTGATCTCGCCATAGCCATCTTGCTGCGCTCTCTGCAGTATGGCGTGTCCTTTACGGGGATCCTGGACTGCCATTATCCAGCCGCGGTCGTTTGCGGCGGGAAGAAACTGTATAAATTCGTCCACATGTCCGACGTAGAGCCGTCACACGTCCACCTCAAAGGGCTCCCATTCCTCCTGGGCCTGCAAAAAGGCCCCGATGGCCGGCGTCTCCTCAAGCTTTAACCCCATGATGATGCGTCCCGCGGGATAAGACTTGCCGTCGTGGGTATAGGACGGAAGCGTCTCCAGACTGCCCAATGAGTCTGCGTTGTCTCCCCATTGACCGGTCAGGTATTGAACAGCTCCGACATTGTCAAATCGAAGCTTCTGAGATCTCAGACGACCGGCCTAGCGTTGAGCTTGGGAAGACCTAATTATGATGCGCAGGGCAAAGGGACAGTCGGGGCCAGGGATACTTATATAGCCAGGTTCGAATAAGTCTTGTATGAAGTAGTCGTTGCAGGCGTCTAGCTGATAGATGGGCGTCTCTATCCTAGCACCGCGAGTGATATTTCCAAGGTCTTAGTTAAACTTAACTTGTAGCGTGTTCGTGAAAATGTCGTGATGCTTTGTCTCTAAATCATATGACTTTAGTTGCGAAGCTGACGTGAACACTTGCTCGGCGAGTTGGCCATGATGGTGTGTCACAACAGGGGCAACCCGAAGCGCGACCGAGTCCTTGGCCTCTCTATCCCCATCCTTGACCGTAGGGAATACCATGACTTTGCCATCTCATCCCTCCGGATGGCGAACGTTACGGGCATCAATGCCGAGCTCAATATCGGCTTAGAGATTAGTCGAAGTAAAGGTATAGTTGGGGGCTGGGCAAACCCAGTCTTGCCAGACCTTCTAAAATATAAGGATTTTAGAGGCGGCTACTTCGTCTAAGATAGCAATAGAGCCGGTAGCGATATTGCTTAGTTTAGGGTAAGGGATAGTTGAAAGCGGTGGGAGGTATTTATGGTTGCGCAGCACGTCGTCCGAAGCGTCGTGGCATTTATCGAGATCTACATTATCCGTTGCGGACTCGATCTTAGATGAGTATCGGCCATTAGTATCGACGATGCTAGCAAGAAAGAGCGCGCCGGAGTATTTTGTCTATGTCTCCTTGCCTGCCTTATCTGTATCGCCGGTTATGTCGACCCTGCCATCACGATTGGTATCTACGAGAATGGTGACTCTCAAGTCGTCAGTGGCGCCCGAGGATTCGCCTACTGTAGTCGTCTCGGCCGACCGATTCGCGATGGTGCTCATGGGAGTGGAAGTGATGCATTGGCAGGCCAAGTTCACTACATCTGGTCGGTAATTGCAATGCTGGTCTAATACGTCGCTCTCCTCTGGTGTCACAAGCTGGGAATAGTCCTTCCCATTACGTAGTATATCTTGACAGAAAGTATGAGCGCGACCCTCGAGGAGTTGACGGATGCGGAGATAACATTGATCTGTTCGGCAGGTGTTCTTGATAATTCTGGAGGGTGAGGCAGCGGCGGCGCTGAATATACTGGGGGTTATGACGCCCTGAATAAAAAAGCTCTTCGTTTTTGCTGTTATTCGTGCTGCTGACTGCTGGTACCATGTAGAACGGGACAAAGAGAGTGGTTGAGGCTCTCGAGGGAAAACTCTTAGGGAAAGTGTTGGGAGCCTATAAGGAATGTAAATATATAGGGGGGCTAGGCAAACTATTTATGCATAATAGATATCAAATACATCCACTGCGTCGAAGAGGTCATCCGCCTCATAGTGGGCTTGGAATTGGAGATATTATCCAGCATGAACATCACTTTCCACCAGGCACGGCCTTGCATAGGGTTGTTGGATCATTCCCTTTTTCGTGCCAGCCTTACGTGGATGACCGACCAGGCAATTAATTTGGAATACTCAGCCTTTAGGGAGGTAGGTACCTTATGCGCACACTGCTTCGTACCCGTGCCACGCCTCACTTTGACTCGAACAACCAAAAGCGGGGTGTGGGCGTTCTCAGTTAACATGGCCTTGGCTGAAGATTGACTTCTAGTATAGCTTGCCTGGAACTAGTTGATAAGGGGAGGGATCGGAATATTCGAGCATGGGTGGCTGCTTATGCATTGTATCGGTGACCAGCCTATATACGGGCATGTCCCTTTTAACAGCAGCATGGCAGCCGCCCCTGAGCGCATCAACCAGCGACCAAGAGCCAGAAACCAAGCACAGCCGCCGCTGAGAGCTTCGCCAAAGCGGAGCCAGCAACCAACCAGGGCCATCGACCGAGAGCCACCAGCCGGTTGCCTGAAGTGAGCATGTCGACCAGAGGACAGCGACCGAGAATAGCCATCGCGCCAGCGACCAAGCGCCGCCGGCCACGGCGTTTGCGAGCCGACGCCGTGTCTCTGTGGGTCAAGGGCCCTTGGTCAGCAATTCACTGACGACCGAGGTTCATACCTCGGATGAAGTCTCAGCTTCCCACCTGCATCCATCCTGCAGAAAAGCGCGCTCCGACTCCCTCCCCAACGGCCCCCTCTCATGATCCCAGGCGTTTGAAAACAGACTGCCGTCACAGGCCGCCCAGGCCGCAGAGTCCCGCCTCTCGTATAGCCCGTGATACCGCATGATGCGTCGACCGTCGCACCCAGAGACCCTGTGCGACCTCTCCCTCCCCGCCATGCCGGAATCGTTTCCGTCCTTTGCTGGCGTGCCACTCGATCTGCAGTAGCATCAAGCATACCTACCTCGGCTGCAACCATAATCGCTCCCGAGGATACTGCCGCCAGTGCGGAACCCTTCCCGCGATCCCGTAGACTGTATGGCTATCGAGTCCGCTACAAAGCCTCGTGATCCCCGGGCAAGGCGACACCAGCAGGTAAGCGATGCTCTCGATTCATCATGCAGTCCTCTAGTGCTGATAAGGGCTTCTTCCAGAAGCCGCCTGTCCTCGTCAACCAGTTCCACGACGATGTTCCCTATCGCCGATGCTTCCGGCGTGAGTCTCCCGCGCGGACACGGACGTCACTTACACCCTCCTGCCACTCAGGGCCGGGCCATCACTAACAAACACAGTCTTCCTGCCCGCCGACATAAGGGCTGAGACAGAGGCGGAAGTTGCTGCCCTCGGCCACGAGATCCTCGCCGACCACGTCTTCGCATGGATCACCGACGCCGAACGCAACAAGCCCTACGTCAAAGGCAGCGGCCGTGACGTCTTTGGAAGACGTGCCGGGGAGCTCATTACCACCGAAGGATGGCGGGAACTCCAAAATTTTGGCATTGCCAAGGGGCAAGTCAAGCAGTCCATCACCGATGCACAATCAAAGCTGACCATGATGCTGCTACAGGATGGTGGCTTGTGGCTATGACACTCCGTACGGGGCCTTTTCGCGACCTCTTCAGTTCCTTCGCACCCATCTCTGGGTGCCTTGCTGCGCCAACGTAGGATGCCCCTCGGCCATGCAGGATGGAGCGGCCAGCCTCCTCAGGAAGCACCTCACGACGCCTAGCCATGCCTCGCAGCAGACACAGGAGCAGCGCCAGGTGCTGGAAGATGCCTTTCGCCGACTCACATCTCGAGATCCGTGCTTCGCATGGACCAGTGGCCAGTGGATGACGGAGCGGGCCGGCGGGAGCGACGTGTCCCAGACGGAAACGAGGGCCGTCTACAAGCCCGGTGAGGGCGGCGGCCTTGCCTCGAAGCAGCAGAAGCTCCGCCTTGGTCCCTGGAGTATCAACGGGTTCAAGTGGTTTTCGAGCGCCACCGACTGCCGCATGGTTGTGCTGCTTGCCCAAACTTCCTCGGGCCTTTCCGCCTTCTTCGCCCCCTTGCACAAGCACGATCCGTCGGCCACTACCATGACCGGTTTGCCAAACCCCGACGGTGAATGCCTAAACGGCATGCAAATCTCTCGACTAAAGAACAAGTTTGGGACCCAGTCACTCCCCACGGCGGAGCTGGTCCTCGAGGATATGCGCGGCTGGCTTCTTGGCCAGGAAGGCAGGGGCATCCACGAGATCAGCTCCGTCTTGAACTTGACCAGGATCCACTCGGCCATAGGAGCCGTGGGAAGCATCGGCCGTGGCCTGGCCATCGCAAGGGCGTACGCAAAGGTGCGTCAGGTCGGAAGCGGCAAGGGAGCAAGGACGAGTCTCGTCGACAGCTCTCTGCACATGCGCACCCTGGCCAAGATGACGGCCGAGTACCACGGCCTGATGCTTCTCAGCTTCTTCGCCACTTATGTCCTCGGCCTCACCGAGCACCCCTTGGAAGACGCACCTCCCACCCCTGCCCTGGCAGCCCTGACGCCCCGGGCCGAGCAGGCGGAGCCGCTCCTGCGTGTCTTGACCCAGCTCACAAAGGCCTATGTCTGTAAGGCCTCGGTCCCCCTCATGTTCGCCTGCATGGAGTCGCTCGGCGGCGTCGGGTACCTCTGGAACGAGGAGCAAGAGTATCTCAACGTTTCCAGGATCTTCCGCGACCTGTGTGTCGGGCCCATCTGGGAAGGGACAACGGATGTTCTGTGCACGGATTTCGTCCGGGCCATCAAGCACCCCAAGGCCGGCGCCGACTCGCTGGCCGCGCTGGACGACGTCATCACCAAGGCGACTGCCTTTCAAGGCAAGCAGGCAAGGCCGGCTGGCTGGCACCCTGCCCAGCGCTGGGCCGCTTGGAAGGATCGCGTCGGCGGCACGTCGGCGGCCGACTTGATGAGCGAGGCGAGGGAACTCGTATGGGGAGTGTCTGATACCCTGGTGTCTGTACTTTTGTATGTCGACGCAGGCAGTGACGGGGACCCGGCGGCGGCGGACACTCTTCACCGCTTCCTCGAGGGCAGGAATTGGATGGAACGGCGGGCCAGAGGAAGCACGGAGGACGAGCTGAGAAGGGACCAGGCCATTGTCTACGGCATCGGTGATTGCTCTGGCCCGAAGCTTTGAGTGTTATCTGTTAGGGTTGTTGGATAAATATCCTCAAATCAACATAGGCACACTTCCTCCTGCGCTTGGAAGGAAGAAATGTCGAAATGATTGTGACGACTTGCAAGATGTGCTCAGTTCGGCAACACGGATGGCGCGACAACAGTGGAACTAACTCGAGCGGATGCAAAACGGACTTTCCGCCTCACAAGCTGGTGTTTCTTGTTTCGACCGACGTCCCATCATGCCTCCGTCTCCCTTCTCTAGCTCGTAGGGAGGCCTCGAAGGTGATTGCGCTCCAGTACCCATCCGCGATGGGTGCCATCTTGTGCGAGAGCGAGATATCAGTTGGGATGCCGGGCGTCGATGGATCTCTGTACTCGAGAGGGCAATGACGCCAAACCTCGAAGCAGGAGTCGCCTCCGAAAGCGTGAGAGGCATCTAAAGCTCTCGTCTTGGACCTCTGTCCTCTGACGATCTCGTCCTCTCGTTTACGTCGTCCTGCTGATTTACCTTCTCCTTGACGTCCTCCCGCCCAATCACCTCGCCGTGACATCTTCCTACTGGCCATCCCATCCTTGTCGTCCCCTCTTGGATAGCATCCCCTTTCGCTTATTGTTCCTCTCCCTCACCGCAAGCAGGCTTCCCACTCCATCACCGCCGTTGCTTCCTCTCATTCCCCTCCGGCCTCGGATTGTACTCCTTGGCTCATGCTTTCTGCTTTTCTTTGACCCACTCTCTCTGGCTGTATTCTCCCCTGGCTCTCGGCTGCCTTTATTTGTCGTGAATTCGAGATTCCAAGCGTCGCCGCTCTTCCTGACATCATCAAATATGGAGAATGCGCGGCGCTTGCGGTTTGCCAATTAATCATCGCCTTGTCTCTTGCCACCATCGCCGAACTACGCGGGGGGCACTGGGCGTGTTGGGCATCCAGATCATGGCCACATTTGGCTTCAAATCAAGCAGTGCCGGGGGGCAAGCGGCGACAAGAAATAGTCACCCTCTGGCCGGCTTCTTCTCCATCCGCTAAGCCGCGCACGAGGCTTCTCATCTGTCTAAATGCCAAGCTCTCATACCCGAACATTCAATGGTGACCCGTGCCCTTGGAGACATGTCCCTTGCAGCCGTTGTCCAACTTTGCAGGAAGTCTTCGGCATCCTGTGCTTGACGACGATAGTGCTCTCCAAGTCAGGCTCGGGTCGTGGCGGCGCTCTCGACGTCATGGTCGGGATGGATCCTGTCTTGGACAATTAAGCACACCGCGTGCCAAGGCACCCAATTCTCAAACACATTCAGGCAACAACACTTGTCAAGTCTAGCATTGCTCCATGCCTGGGGGGCATTATTCGGACCTTTGGACGACCCCGTCATCGGTTGCGGAAGGTTGCGGACCATGAAGACTGCATTCCGGAGCTTTTGATGCTGCGTCTGCGCATTCGACTTTGAAACGGCCAGACGGGCAACATCGTCTAGCCACAAGCACTCGCGGTTTGATCGTTTGAGTATTTCCATTTTACTGAGGCAATGGCTTATGCACTTGCGTTGGATGGACATGGATCGATCACTCCTTGACCATCGCCTGGCAACAAAAAGAGCCTTTTTAGAGAGACACACGGCTGTCACCGGCTTCAGGAACACTCAATGCTTGCTGACATCCATGCCAAAGGCAACCACTACAAGGTCTGTAGGTTTGTTAGGGTGGGAAAACAAACCGCCCGGGTAATACTTGCCATCAACGAAACAGTCTACGAAGTGATATGTGAAGCATGGATCCTTCGGGTCGGAGCAGGTACCTGCCGCAACAAGACAATTGTGCACTGGGCACTGGAGAAGCAGCCAGATGAAGCCGGACCGAGGAGGGAAGCGACCGTTAATGCTCCAAGAAAGGTGGCGGCGATCCAATTGCATGGACGGATCCAAATTTCCGGCGGGAATACATTTAAGTTGTCGCCTTCCCGTCGGACTAGTTGGGATCTCAATTATCGTGGTCAGGCGGGCTTTTCTTGAGACGTCCGACCAGTCAAGAGCTGAGCGGGTATGAGATGCCTCACCTTAGGGAAACAAGGTGGTGCTATACAACCAGCCAACATGACAGCATCGCGTTTCTAATGAGTGATGGGCTTGGAGTGATGCAAGCAAGTGAGGTGAAGCTGAAAAGACGTGGTATTGGATAGAGGTGATGAAGAAAGCAAAGGAAGACCAGATGGAGGAGAGAGAAGGACCTCAACGACTGTAGATCAAGACTGTTGCTGCCCGTCTGACAAAAAGACATGATGGGAGTGGCTGAGGAAGGGGAAGCAGCAGCAGAGAAGACCGAGACTGGCAGGTGGCAGCTGGGCTAATGTACCCGAGCAAGTTCATTGAACCGCGCGCGGCGGGACCCGTTTGCCTGGAGCTCGACAATGGCTGTCGACGATAGACCGAGGGAGGATTACCTTGAGGCGTTTGCAACATGCTATCTGGACAGCAACAAGAAGAAACAAGCGAGACCCGGGCTGGAGGGAACGGCCGGCAGAGGCACCTCAATAGGTGGTGCCGTTGGCCCCTTTCTACCAACCTCGAATGTCAGCTGAACGCATCATGGCTTGCAACGTCTCAGAAGCCGTTCGGCACTCCTTTCCCCTCTTAAGTGGAGAGTTGCGTCAGCATCTTTGTCCCATCAGCACATAGTCAGGTCAGCCCTACGAGGCGAATCTCTCTCTCTCTTGGTCAGGGTTCATTTGGCCCCCAAGCCGAGAGCCCTCTTTACCTGGGGGAAAGCCGCCACCCACTGCCCATGAACCCCAGAGAAGGCCCCCTCTGATTCGCATATGCCTTGCGTTAGCCTTCCATTCAGGGGTCCTTGCCCCAGGAGGGGAAGCACTGCATCCCGTGCATCTGCATTTTGCACCATCGCCAACGACACACGCACACCGAAAGCAGGCCGCTTGGGCGCACCCCCCCTCCACCCTCTTCTCAGGGGCAGCCTTTTCCCCCTTGGCCCTTTCTTCATCCATTGCACAAGGGAAGAAGAAAAGGGGAAAACATGCATACCAGAAACACCCGATGACAGGACCCGCACCGTGACCCATGTCCGAATCTGACACCGCCCGCTAGTAAAAAGTCGTCGGCCACAAGACCAGTACCGGTTCCGGATCTGGGGAAGCTTAACGAGATCGGCCGAGGACCAGGCAGCGAGTGATAAACAACGAAATATGCCTCGGCCGCAACGATTGAGGCTGTCGCCTGCACAGCGTCGATCGGTGCTTGCGAGCGAGCAGCACACCCCGGTCCATCCTCAGCCTCACCTCTCCCCCCTTGTTGTCGGCGGCGGCACGCTTCTATCCGACTTGAATTTGTGGCTAACGGACAGGGCGGGAACGTCATTGGTCAGGACGGAAAACAATCAAGTTCAAATCAGGCATCCATTCGGCCGTCTCTTTCGTTTTCTCCCCCTCTCACAGTCTCATCTTCCCGTGTACATACACACCTCGTCAGTACGTGACTGCCAACTGCCTTGCAAGGCTGGAAGAGACAGGACAGGCATGCCCCCGTCGATTGCTGCATGCAGGCGAGGCGATTCGAGCGCTGGTTGGCCTGGCGCATGGAGCCCAGTCCAGCTCATTCGGACCGTGCCGCTCGTGTTGTGGGCGGAAGGGTCGCTCGCCCGGCCGGCATCAAGGGCGCTCTCCCCGTCGGGGCTCGAGTCCGTTGGGGGTGCATCGTAGACTCGGCCGGATTGTGAGACGGCTGTTGGGTAAATTCGACACATGCGAAGTGCGCGTGCTTACGGACTGACTAGCCTCACGAAGCAGCTCCCGTCATTCGTTGGTCTGAGGAGGGTTCCTCGACAGCAAAGGGGAGTATCTCGACACTCGTCGTACCCAGAGACCCTCGGGGTCGACATGGATGTCTCAGTCCAGACCTCGACGTCAAAGCCGAGTGGCCCCACTCGAGCAAGCATGTCTCGACGGGTGAAGCCAGGCCGTCATATGCAGAGTGCAGACAAGCGAGAAGCCACTGTCTCTCGGGACGCGGTTCCGCACAGAGATGTCCCCCCCCCCTCCCAGATAGCCCGGCCCGACCTCCCAAGCGTGGCTTTGCTTGGTAGCCTGGCCCTCTTTCCCGGTCTGGTCGCGAGGCAAAGGCCGCTGCCTTATCGGCCTGAGGCGCCTTTCCGTGTGGCGTCTGTGCCATGCCATGGGGGGTGGGCGTGTCTCCATAGTGGACGCCTTTGGACTTTGGGCCCTTTCGCGCATTTGTCGGTAATTGCTTAGCTGTAGGTTTGACCTGCGAATGTAACGTCAGTGAACCCCCTCCCACGGCTCGTCATGGCTCTAGATACACTCCGTATATATATCGCCCATATATACGTTGTATGTACTTTGTCCACCAGGACCAAGGCTTGCGAAATCGTCGCACCGCTCGACGACGAAAAACAGGCCACCAAGGGCGGTGGTGAACGACGGGAGACCGACGACCGAAGACAAAAAGAGGAAAAAGACGACGAAGAGCAAGGTCAAGAACAGGACAGAGGGGAAGAGGGAGACGACATCCGACTAGGTGGCCCGCCGTGGCCAGCGGTCCTCCAAGTCCTCATGATGAGAATCGTCGTCGCGGGCGGAGGGGGCTTCGGGTACTTGCTGGCGATGCAGCTATCGCAGGCGGCCCACGCCGTCGTGGTGCTGTCTCGACAGGCCCGGCCCGAGTTCGCGCAGCTCGACGTGCAGCTGCACGTCGTCGACTACGACGACCTGGAGCGGCTGGCGTTTGCGCTGCAGGGCGTCGACGTGGTCATCTCAACCATCTCGGGCCAGGAGCAGCTCAACCTGATCCAGGCGGCGGTGGGGCGGGTGCGCGTCTTCGTGCCGTCCGAGTTCGAGGGCAGCCTGAGCCGGCGGCCGACGCACGGCCACGACGGCAGCGACCCGTCCGGGCTGGACCGCGGGTCGGCGGCGGCGCTCGAGCTGCTACAGCAGTGGGCGCGGCAGTCGCGCATCCGCTACACCGTCTTCTCGTGCGGCCTCTTCATGGAGCGCTTCCACCCCTGGGGGCTCGGCTACCTCAACATCGGGCGCGGGTCCGGCATCGCGAGCGCGGGCGACTACCTCGTCGACATCAACCGGGCGACGGCCGAGTACGCCGAGCGGGACGCCCGAGGCCGCTCCGTGCGCGTGTGTCTGTCGTCCGTGTACGACGTGGCGCGCTTCATCGTCGCCGCCATCGACCTCGGCACCGAGAAGTGGCCCGTCGAGTTCACCATGCGCGGCGACCGCATGACTCTCTCGGAGCTCGTCGACACTTGCAGCCGCGTCCGCAACGGTTCGTCCCCTTCTCGTCTACTGGGCCCGCGGGAGCGCTAACGGAGAGATCTCAACGTCAGTCGTCTTCTACCGCCAGACGCGCTCCTACGCCGAGCTGCAGGCGTACCTGAGTTACTGCGCGCATAGCGGCGACGTGCAACGCGTCGCCTACTATCAGCGGCTGCTGGCCACGGCCAACGGACGCTACGACTTTAGCCGCGCCACCCTCAACGAGGCCATTGAGCGGAGCGACCTCGTCGACGTCCAGCCCTTGAAGCTGAGCCAGTGGCTCATGAATATGTTGCAGTCGGTGTAATGTTCCTGGGGGTCGGGCTGGGTTGCGAAGAAGCAAGCTCAAGGACAAGCGAAGGGGAAGAGGGAGGGGGGAAAATGTCTTCGAGGCTGGCCTTGCAGAGAGGGAAGAGAAGGAGGGGGTGGGTGGGATGGGCAGCTGGAGTTTAAGGGCGCGCTTCTTGCTTCTCTATACCCATTTTTTCGGTTTCTGTTTTTTTCCCTCTTCACCTTTCTCTCGCCTCTCCTCTCCTCTTGCATTTGCCGCTTCTGCTTCCTCTCCGCTCCCTCCTGTTGATTCTGAACGACTCGCATCCCAGAGGCCGCCGTTTCGACACCGTTTCCCGCCTCTCGTGAACCATCCATACGAGACTCTGGAGGGCACGAGTCATGCTTACTGCGGCCTCGATGTTACTCTTCACCAACAGGGACACAAAGCATAATCACGCCTCGGGTCACCGGAACACGCCGTCTCCTCCTCGGCTGCTGAGGCAGACAACGACGGTGCAGGTGCCCAAAAGTGCGTCAGCGCCTGGACTGCGTTGGCGTCGGATGGGGTCCGGGCAAAGACGACCCCCTCTTCGGCTATCATGGCCAATCTGACGCCACTCTTGCTACGGACCTTGCCCTCGACTCTACGTACGGCTCGTCTTTGCGCCAGGCACACGGCTTGCAGCTCAACTGCGGTTTCTTTGTCTTGTCCAACTTCTGAACAGCGCACCTATAGACTCACCACACCATCTACGCGCTTTGGCCTTTTGGTGTTGAAGCAACATATCGAGTCGCAGGTCCCAACGCCACCTTCCGCCCCCGTACATAATTCTCCGACCGCCCAGCCTATTGGCTCTGCGCCTCTGCCGGCGACTCCTTGGGGGCCTGATCTGCGATTTCCTCGTCGGGGTCAAACTCGTCGCCGAATTCCGTCACAATCCAGAGGCAAAACTTTTCCCACTCGATCAGCCATTCCTTCAACCGCTGGGCCTTGATTCCGGCCCCCAAGCTCGCCTCTCTGACGCCCTTGGCCCACTCGTCTGGACCCTGATCCTCAAACGCCGCCCATCGGACGCTGTTCTCGGCCAGGCTGCCCAAACCGGCAAGCCCGAGGTTGCCCCAGCCTTGCAGCGCCTGCCAAAAGTCGTGGGACATGCCCGCAGTGTCTTGGCCCAGCATGGCAGGGTCGTCGTTGCACAGGCTGCATGCGACTCCGCGCGCCAGGAGGGCGGGGAGCGGGTGTGACATGATGGAGCCGCATAAGCGGAGCACCTCGTTGGACACGGGGCACGATTCGATGAGAATGCGCTTCTTCTTGACCATTTCAATGAGCAGTGGGTGCTTGTACAGGCTGAATCCGTGGCCGATGCGCCTCGTGCCCAGCAAGACGGCGTCAAACAGGTTGCCATCGGTGCTGGAGCCGTCGCCAAGCGTCTCGCCTGCGTGGAAGAAGAAAGGGATGTTGACGCCCTCCTGCGAGCACTGCTTGCGGAACCAAAACAGTTCCGGCAGCAGGTCGACGAGCGATCTGCCAAGGTCCTCAGGGCCGACGAGGTCGTAACCGGCGATGAGATGGGGAAACTCCATCTTGGAGGTGATGCAGTGGTCCATGTTCTCAATGATGCTTCTGGTGTCGACGCTGCGTATGGTGGTCCAGATGGTGGTTAGCCCCCAGAAGCCCTGGCCCCCGGGCGAGTCTTTGAATCGAGCGACTTCCTCTTCCAAGACGGTGAGCATGTGGCTGTAGTCCTTTTCAGGCTCCTCCTGGCCGTCACGGCAGTAGTCGAGAGTCCACGTGAATCTGCATCGAGGTCAGACTTGGGGGCACGGCTGTCACGGCAAGGGGAGAGGGCGGTACCGCAGCTCGGCCCAGGTGACACCATCGGCCATGAGAAGATGCATCAGGCGGCGCAGGAAAGAGCGGAACATGGGCTCATAGTGGATGATTGTCGCGACGGTGGAGAAGCACTTGGCAAACTTAGTCCAGATGGCGTCGATGCCATGGTGTTGCTCGTGACAGTCGGCTTCGGAGAGGACGCAGCGGCTTTTGAGCCAGTCGAGGAAGCCGGGTCTGCCTCGGTTGGGGAACGAGTCGGCTACCTGGGTGAGAAGGATGAAGCTCTTTGGCTGGTATGCCTGTTGCCAGACAGAGCCGTGGACGACTTGGTTGGCCCTGAATCTAAAGGAAAGGTTTGCGTTTTGGAGGGCTTCGTCAGAGTCCAGGGCGCGGTCGCTCGACATGTGCATGCCGGGCATCTCGAGCAGCTCGTCGAGGAGAAAGTCGAAGTCGACCATGGCATCCATATGGGCGTGCAAGAGGCAGCCTTTGGGCATGCGGCGGATAATCTCCCAGAGCTTGGTGCTCTCCATGCGCTGCTTGGCCATCATGAACATCATGCCGGGATAGACGCACTGGCGCGCATCGACGGAGCTGTCATGGCCCAGGTCCGGGGCCCAGACCGTCTCCTTCTCATGGCTACGAATGCGGTCGACGATGGTGCAGGCCCGCCGGGCAATGGGGGAGAGAGAGCTCCGAAAGGACGCATCCGAGCGACTCGTCTTCTCCTGGTTGATGAGATCGTCCCGCCCGGCCAAGTACTGCTGGAGAAAGGGGTCGGATGCGGAGGGGACGTCTTGGGAGACTTCGTCCCAGATGTCGTCGGGCATGGCCATGGCTGCGGGCCAGGGTTTCGACGAGCCGAGAGCCAAGCGAGGTTGGGCCAGCCCAGTCTCAGTTGAGCGGCGCAGCAGAGCGAAATGTCTGGCCTGAAGATTTCCCCCTTTTTTCTTCTTCCTTGTCCCCGTCTTTTCCTGCCGTCTGCAAGGGCCAGCAGTTGAGGCGTGGGTGGCTTGACGCAAGCAACACGTTTGTTCCGAGCTGCTGAGTGCAGAAGGGGGATCGCAGGTGACTTGGACAGCCTGCTAGTCAGACGAAAAGACCGACATCGGCATTGGGGGCCAATTTGTGGTGACCCGTGTTCGGAGTCGATCGATGCATCTGCATGGGGATCGAGGAGGCAACAGCCCACGCGGTGCCTTGGCGCCCGTTGGTTCCGACGGGGAGCTTGCTTTTCTCTCACGTAAACTCGGTGCAACGTCCGCCACAGCCAGAATGCTACGGCGGGGATGGATGTGATGCTGGATGGCGGTCAATCTGGATTCTGGAGCATCACGTCAGTTCTGCGCGAGGGCGGGGCATTCCAGGCTGCCCACGTGACCAGACATGTTTACCCCAACGGCCCAGTTCTGCTTTGGAGCTTTGGACGACAAAGTCTGCATCTCGCTAAGTCAATGGCTCTCGCAGTCTGAAGCGCGTGCTGCCCCGGCATCGACGAGGCGCTCAACCAATTGTTACTGGTGGACATGGTCAACGCCAGCGTCGTGCACCCCGAAACTCTTCCTATTGGCGAGCACCAGCTTTGAACCAGCCGCTTAGGGCTTCGGCAAGCAACCCGTGGAAAGAAGAAAGAGGACAGGGACGACGTGAAGCCTCGTCTTCGGGCTGGTTTGCGGTCATGGATGACTTATCTTGACGGCAGTATATCCATCCCTCTGCTTTGCTTTCCATCGCCGTCCTGGTTTGGCGAGGAACCAAGTCTCAAGCGAGTCGGCCAATGCCTTCCCCTAGCACACGTGGATATACACCTCCAGCGCTTGTCCTTGTCACGTTGTCGATATTTGCGATATTTGCCCCTTACTCCCGGCAAGACTTCTCACCCACTGCGGTACTGTGAAAGCTTCTACATTCTGTCGTCTCGCCGTGATGGACCCAAGCCCCGGTGACATAACAGGTATCCCTCTCGATCATAGTCCTTCCTGTTTCTTGTTCCTTAGAGACAGTGGACACATTTCCCTTTCGCTGCATCTTTTCGTACAACGAACAGCAGAAAGTCGGCAGTATCCATTGGACTATAGGTATGTATATTGTGCCCTTCTCGTCAGCAACGCCGCGGTCCAGAAATGGCGGGAATGAGTAAAAGTTGTCTGAGTGCCACGCAGAAAACGAGCCCCGCACGAAATGATCGGTAGAAGATCTAAATAGAAACCTTTCCCCGTGATGATTCCTCCTGTCTTCTGAAAATCTCCAAATCTCACCAAGGTCTTTCATAAACCCGACCTGCCGCCTGGGATATTTCTCATATAGAACTGCGCAAACCTTGTTGCCGCCGAACTGTCAGATGCCTTGTTCCTTGAGGATGGGAGCTCTGAGAAGTCCTACGTTTACAAGACCTTGAGAATTCTGTCCAGAGGCACGAGGATTCAGATTGCCCGAGATTCCAGGCGTTACCATAGAAGCACGAGTGACCAGAGGACCGCCAGCTTTCCAGAAGACGTGCCCAGGGTTATCCGGAGCATCATTTCCCGGCTTTCGCGTGAACTGATTTCCGAAAACAGGCTCTAATGGGGTTCCATAGCTCGTTTGCCAGGCTCGGACGGTGTTGATGAGGGGAGAAATCAACGGCAGCTCATCATGCTCCATCCGCTCTTGGGCACAGGTCAGTACTCGGTTCTTTCCTCGCGCATGCCACCCGAAACGAAGAATTTCCCAACAACGCGCTTGGGTAGTCCATCTGTCACCACGTAGCAGCGAGATGTTCAACCCTAATCCCCTAATGCAGGAACTGCAAGAGAAACGACGGCAGTAAAAACCGTGAACAGGCGTAGCATTGTCGAGACTGGCAAGCTCTGGTCTGACCGAGAAAGTATACCCAAGGAATGAAGGGAGATACAACCTTAAAAGTGAGCCGGCTTTTGTGTTTAAAATGGGTTCTTGATAAATTCAAATCGAACGGAGTAAGCTATTTATTTGCGAGGGAGAAGGCCTAATCAACCAGGCGGCTTAGAACTACCCGGATTCGCATGTGGTAGGCTCCGAGTCACGGGAGACTCGGCCTCACGGACAAGTTCAGCTATGTAAGAACCGGTTGTAAAGCGTGTCGAGTTCAAATGCCGACGACTATCTAGAAACGGAAAATAGGCTGGGCTTGGCAACCGAGACTGCTTAGAGACGGCGAGCGAGGTAACGGGGCCTCTGCCGTTCCCCTAGAACGCTGGATGTTCAAGGAAGCCGTGCCTCGTTTATACAACCTTGTTTGTAATTATATCGGTCTGCTACCTCGTCCAGGAAGGAAGGGAGCCATTACATATAGTACGTGTAGAGTCTTTACCGAGATAGATGGTTTGTTCACATCATAATCGAAGGTGTAGGGATCTATAGGAGAACTATAAGCAGCATTCGGCTATTTAAAGCTCAGAAGGACGATACTACGATAGGTATGCCGTTGAACTCTGTTAATATCGTAAGCGAAAGATGCCGAATATATTATGGCTTCCCATTTATAGGACCCTGCTCTGTCCCTATAAACACGATATACACAAGAGCTGCTACCTTACCCGCCCGGATGGTCGGATCTATACTCTATTATTGTGTCTACTATAATAAGCTATAAAGCAAACGAAGGCTTCATGTTGAGTATGCCGGAAAGTAGTAACAACAACTGACGACTTTCTCGTAATTAGCTCTAAGATTCAATGCATTTAATTCCCGCTCCAAACCAAGTAGTCGCGAAAACATTTCTCGACATAGAAAGAAGCCCAGTAGAATTTACCAAGACCTCGATCGAAGCAGGCCGCGGCCGCTTCTTGCTCGTTGCCACGTCAAAGTGACAACTTAGTACATACATCGAAGAGGGTCCTCGTGAAAGATTCCCGATGTCTGCCAGGGCAAGGCTAATCACGGACCTAAGGTAACTACTGGGGATCTCCTGGAGATTCTTGCCTTGCGCCACAGGATCCTCAGGCGCTAGACACGTACCTCCGCGATTCGGCCTGATTTTTCACGGGTTGACAGACACTACATATTATAGTCACCCCTTAAAGTCCAAGACGCACGTGTGGTTGACTAAAACTCGCAAATTCCTTCTTCCCAAACACCAGGCGCTAGTCTCTGCAGGTCCTGGTATAGCTGATTCGGCCCCCTGACGGTGATTATCCGCTACCGTGCTGAGAATCATGGTCCCGAATCATCCGCGGTGATGGCCTCTTCGTCACTTGCATGACATGTCTCAGGCGCCAGCGCTTGCATGCTTCCATTGTCCATGTACTTACATGCTTACCTTACATGTGCAGCGTGCGTCCCAGTTTCCAGGACATCTTGCATCTGCATCAACGCCTTGTGGTCTATCCCTCAACAATGCTGGCAGCTCATTGCCCCTCTGGGATGGCGGTCCGCACTACGTCCCCTGACGGCAGAAGCTTGTCCGCCAATGACAGCGTGTAGCCGTGGCCTTTGCTCGTCACCTCTACCCTTAGCCTGTCAGCCCTGCCAAGCTTTTCTGGGGAATCCCACAGTCTCGTGAGCACGCTTCCTTCTGCCTCGGGATGTATATGATAGAGACCCCCCGCGAACCCTCCCCTGATCATTCAAGCCCTCCCAGATCACCCCGATGATGGCAATGTTGACGATACACCTAATCTCACTTCTCTGCACCCTCGCGGTAGCATTGGCTCTTCCTCAACACCAAATTACACAGACGGGCATGTGCTGCTTTACCCTACACGACGCCAGCAGCGGCGAGATTCTCCAACAAGACACGCAAACCGGCTTCTTGTTCCTCAACTCTCCCCAGCCAGACGGGCGGTACTGCCTTCACCGCCCCGACAATAACAATGTCCTCCGAGACGTCATGGACAACGCCTGTATCATAAACTCGGCTCTCAAGTTCCAATGCCTCGATCCGACCCCTGGCTTTAACAGGTGGTCCGTCCAGCAGAGCGGCGGCCGGGCGCTGCTCGCTGTCGACGGGTCTACTTCCTTCAAGGCCTGCCCCGCCGGCGCTGGCGCCGAAATGGTCTGGAGTGCTCGCAAGAGCGGGGGTCTGGGCTGCAGGGACATGCGTATCGTGGCGAACGGCCTCGAGGGAGCGTGCCGTGGGCTTGATGGCTGACCCCAGATATCTTGCGAGGCGAGGCCGGCTGGCTCCGGCAGGTCCTCATGCCCTAGTCTTTTTTGCTTTGCGACAGGTAGGCGTTATTCAGGCCACGGCCGCGGAGTTTACATAGATGTCTCGAAATGCGCCCAAACACGAATACCACCAAGACGTTAATAAGGCGAGCCAGTCCTAAGAATATATGTTGACATATCTGGCCAGTCGAGCCTTTGGTCCCAGCTCTCGCTTTTAGCGGTAGAACTGCCGGTACCACGAGATGTGAAAAGCGGCTACATGTACCCAATCGTTGTCCTCATTTAATGCCCCTTTCCCTCAAATCCATCACACAGTCCCTCGCCTGGTCCTTGCCTGCCTTCTCTCCGTTCTCTTACGCCGGCCTCTCCTTACGCCTGCAGCGCTGTCTCCTCTCTCGCCGCAACGCTCCCCTTCCGCCAGCCGTCCGTGTGATCGAGCCGTTTCTGGGCCACGCTCGCCTCGCCCGCGGCTCCCCAGCCCCCTCCGCCGGGCGTACACACGATGATGCGATCGCCGGCCTTCATTGCCGCGCTGTTCTTGGCACCAAGGTTGATGTGACGCTCCTCGTACTCCTTGCCCACCTCGTCATCGTCTTTGTCGCCGCTGTCGTGGAACCGCGCGAGCGATCGGTCCCAGTCGGTCTTTTCCACCTTGCGCACCCAGAGATTCAGGCCGCAGGCGCCGTCCTCGCCGCCGTTGAGGCCGTATGGGCGATACACCCGGCGTTCCGAGAGGATGGAGACTTGAAGCGGGATGCGGAACTCGATGTCGCGGATGACGCCGTCGCCCCCGCGGTGCTGGCCCGCGCCTCCGGAGCCTTTGCGGATGGAAAACTCCCGCAACAAGACCGGGTAGCGCCGCTCGAGAATCTCCGAGTCGGTGATGCGGGTGTTGGTCATGTGAACGTGGACGCCCGACGCGCCCTCCCAATCCGGTCCCGCGCCGCTGCCGCCCGCAATGGTCTCGTAGTAACCGAAGCCCCTGACGGCCTGCTCGCCGGACTGATTCCCGCCGAAGCCAAAGGTTAGGTTGTTGCAGCATCCCTGACTGGCGGCACAAGCCTGGAATGCTTTGAAGATGACGTCGGTGATGCGCTGGCTGGTCAAGACATTGCCACCGACCACCGCGGCGCCCGGTGACGGCGAGAGGATGGACTTGTGCGGGATCTTGACGTTGATCGGCTTGAGACAGCCTTGATTAAGGGGAATGTCCTCGGAGACGAGACAGCGGAGGCAATAGATGATGGCGCTATACGTGATGGCTTGGGGCGCATTGATATTGCCGTAGACTTCCGGGCCGGTGCCCTCAAAGTCGAATTCGGCGCTGCCGTCGTTGGGGTCGATTTTGATACGGAGCTGGATGGGAGATCCGTCGTCCATGTAGTCAACGCCAGAGAGGTCTCTTCCCTCGAAGCGTCGATGCACGTCCTTGAGGAGCTTGCGGACGCACCGTTCAGCGTTGTCCTGGATGTTGATCATGTAGAACTGGACCGTCTCCTCCCCGTATTCGTCTATCAGGCCTTCGATCAACGAAATGCCCTTTTGGTTGGCTGAGACCTGAGCGCGCAGGTCGTTGATGTTGTCCGCGAGACAGCGCGTGCCGCTGCAGCCAGAATACTTGGCAGGCTCGTCATAAAGGAGCTGGACGACGCGCTGCTCGTCAAACTTGCCGCCGCTGACGAGCTTTTCGCTGCGGATCGCGGCGCCCTCCTGGAAGAGCTCACGCGAGTGCGGGGGCATGCTGCCGGCGGTAATGCCGCCAATGTCGGCGTGGTGCGCCCTCGAGGCGGCGTAGAACAGTACGTTTTCGCCCCGGGCGTCAAAGGCGGGCATCACGAGCGTAATGTCAGGCAAGTGAGTGCCTCCATATGATGGGTGGTTGGTGATGATGACGTCTCCCTTTCGGAGCCTATCCTTCCATATCTGGGCCTGCGTCCTGACACACGTTGACATGGACCCGAGGTGGACAGGCAGGTGAGGCGCATTGGCCACGAGGGCTCCTTGGGCGTCAAAAATGGCGCACGAAAAGTCTAGACGCTCCTTCACGTTTGTGCTGACGCTCGTCTTTTGCAGAGCGCGGCCCATTTGTTCTGCAATGGCCATGAACCGGTGCCCAAAGATGCTAAGCATAATGGGGTCGACCTTGCCGGGGCCGGACTCGTCCTTGCGGGATCTGAACGGCGGGGTCAGCTTTTATCTTCTTCTCGTTTGACGTTTCACGAGAGCGGGAGGGGGACCTTAGTGGGGTTCAGGCTCGGGTCTTAGGCTTGCCAAAGGGGCCATCTTACTCGTCCTTTGAGTTCTCATGCTCTATGTCGATCACGACGTGCGTCTCGATGATGAGAGCTTTGGTCTTGGGAGTCACGATAATGGTCTGCGTCCCGTCTGCCAGAACAGCGGGGCCGCTGACAACATCGCCAACCTCGAGGTTCTCGAGCTTGTAGATTGGAGTCGGGAGCCTGCCGCCCTCAAAATAGACGTCCTGGGCGCCGTGCTGCTTTCCCTCTACCACCTGGCGGCGCTCGACCCTCTTGAGCTGCTGGTCCACCGTCGGCTCCTGATGGCGGAAGCTCTTGCCGATGCCACGGACGCGCACGTCGTCGACGATAATGTCCCGCTCGTCCAAGGTAAAGCCAAACTCGTAGCGGTGGTGCTCGACAAAGGCCTTGCCAAAATCCCATTCGGCGGGGGTGGATGGCTTGACAATCATGAGGGCAGACTCAGTGCCGCGGTAGCGCATGTTGAGGTATTCTTCAAATTCCACCTCGCCGTCGTCGAAGCCCTGGTCCCGCAGCGCCCCGCGCGACTTGTCCTTGAGTCGCTCCATTTTTCGTCGCAACTTGTCGACGACACCGCCCCCATCCTCCCAGACGGCCGAGTCTGGTTCTTGGCGCTCGTCGACCACATCGGCAAGGGCCATGCCGTAGGCCGAGAGGACGGATGAGTGGCGGTGCAAGAGGATCTGGCGGATGCCCAGCGATTGCGCGATTGCTACGGCGTGCTGGCCTCCGGCGCCGCCAAACGTCGCCAACCGGTGCTTGGACGAGTCGTGACCCTTGGCCTCTGTGATTGACCGGATGGGTCTCGTCATGGTCTCGTTTGCCACAGTCAGGAATCCGTAGGCGACCTCGTCTACGGTCAGATTTTGGCCCGTCTCCTTGTTGACCTGGTCCGCCAGCTCCTGCAGCACGCGTTTGCTTGCTTCGGGATCTAGGCCCTCGTCCTCGTTCTTGCCAAAGATCCTTGGGAAGAATTCGGGCAACAGGCGGCCCAGATAGAGGTTAGCATCGGTGACTGTTGGGGGCCCGCCTTTGCGATAGCATGCCGGGCCGGGGTGGGCGCCGGCCGACTCAGGCCCGACGGCAAAGAGGCCGTTACGGAAGAAGAGGCGAGATCCGCCCCCAGCGGCGACGGTGTTGATGTCGAGCTGGGGGGACTGCACGGTAACCCCGGCGATAGTCGTCTCGAAAACATGCTCATAGCGGCCCTCGCCGTAGCGGGAGACGTCGGTCGAAGTCCCCCCCATGTCGAACCCGATAATAGGCGTCTTGGTCTCTTGGTCGTAGGAGGTAATGGCATAGCCGACGACCCCACCGGCCGGCCCGGAGAGAATGGCCTTTAAGCCCGTGAACTTGTCCACGTCGACGAGGCCGCCGTCGCTCTGCATGAACTCGCACCGGGCGCCTTTAAGTCCTTCTGATTGCGCCACTCCACGGGTCCCGAGCCCGCCCTCGAAACCGGCCTGGAACCCGTCAATGTACCTCCTGATCGCCGGGGTCAGGTAGGCATCTGCGCAGACGGATGTGGCGCGCGGCACCAGCTTGACCATGGGCATGAGCTCGTGGCTGAGTGAGACATGGGTGAAGCCTATCTGTTTGGCAATGCGGCCGACACGAGCCTCGTGATCCGGGAAGGTGTAGCCATGCATGAGACAGACGGCGATGCTCTGGATGCCGCTGTCGTAGACATGGCGTAGTTTCTGGCGGATGTCGTCGTCGCTTGGCCTCTTGAGGATGCGCACTGTCTCGCCGGATAAGCCACGGACGAGCTGGACGCCGTCCTGTTGTGGCTCCCCACCGGCAGCGGCCTGGGCTTGAGGCTGTGTGGTTGTACGCTCAGGATCTTCGGCGTAGTCCTCGAGAGTGACGCGCTCATCAATCTCGACGACCGTCTTGTAAAGAACATCGGGCTTGCAGATGGCGAGGTCAAAGATGCGAGGGCGGGACTGGTTGCCAATGTTGAGGCAGTCACGGAAGCCCTTTGTGACGACCAAGGCAATGTCCTCGCCCTTGCGCTCGAGCAGGGCGTTGGTGGCGACGGTGGTGCCCATACGAATCGAGTCGATGGGAGAGGTATCGAGAGGCTGGCCACGGGGAAGCTCCTTGCCAAGGAAGTGACTCAAGATGCGCCGGATCCCCTCGAGAGGAGCGTCGACATACTTGCCCGGGTCCTCGGAGAGGAGCTTGATGACGAGCTCTTTGCCATTGTGCTCGCCGACGCAGTCGGTAAAAGTCCCGCCCCGGTCGATCGAGATGCGAATTCCGCGTGCCTTGGTCGAGGCTGGTGTGGCCGCCATGGCCAGATATCGGGGGGGGCGGAAACGCAGCTGTTTGCGAGGCGGAACCTTCCAGGGTGTCCTCAACGATGATTGATCATGCCCAGTCTCCACCGGCAAGCAATCCTCCGCTTTCTCTCCTCGGCGGGACACGGGATCTTGGCCGTTTGATCCGCAGCGGAACAGCAAGCTCGCAGCAGCGCGAGGTTGTTTCTGTTCCGGGCAGCTGGTGCTTGCAGCGGTTGATGGCAGCGGCAAGACGAGGTCGAGCGGCAGGGAGAAAGATGACAACTTGAAAGCATGACCTCATATCATACAGTGTGTGGTGGAATGGGAGGGCACTGTAAATTACAAGCCTTCAGCGCTTAGAAGGTACTGAAACAGGCGGCCCCAGACTAGCCCGGTACTCCCTCCGTTACTTCCGTAGCTTGCCGCACAGTGCCGAACCGGAATCCGCAAAACGGGGCGGGCGGGGACAGCCGCCGCTCCGGCTGAGGATGAATGCCCTCCCCCCTCAGCGGGTTTTTCCCCCACGTGTTGATGTGGCACAAGGACCTCTCTTGCTTGAGGCGCTCCTCCGGTCATTCCCTCCCCGGCTATTCCATCTTGGTCTATTCGATGTGGAAAGCGAGGAAGGCCATCGTCGTCAAACATCATCACCACTCGCCCTCCCTGTTCGCTCACGGCCCGAGATGAATCGTCCGTCGGTGCCTCCCGAGGTTTGTCCGTATAAAGCCGGCCATTGTTCAGTTCAACGCCGTAGCGCAAACACGTGGGGGCTTCTGTCGGGCAAGGCAGAAAGGGTTTGATTGAAACATTTCTTATTATATCTCTTCCCTTTGGGCAAGTCGTTGTAATGAATGACGCCAACGAGGATCCGCAGTAAGCGTACGTACGTAGAGTCTGCGCCACCGGCCGAGCGATGGGTGAAGAAGCCTAGCGGCATATCCCAAGCGTGGCTTTGCTTACGTCGTCAACCTTTGACTGTCGAGTATCAGGGATGGATGACGTTGCCTCGTCCAAAAAATCTCCACATATGACACCATCCCGTCCTGGGAAGGAACAGCCAAAAGAAAAGAGAGGAGAATCTGATAATCTACTGTCAGTATAGTGGCGGTCACGTCCAGCCACGCCGCCAAGGCAACTTACGCATCATCGCCCACCCACCAGCCCCGATCGTGGGGGTGTGGGAGGCCGTCGGCGTGTCCGCCAAGCCCGACCCAAGACCAAAACAGGTTCCGCGCTTGTCGGTTCTAGACAATCTTTTGCTCCAATGGTTGCCGGCTGTCTAGCCCATGCTGTGTAAGACACCTTGCGTGGCCTGATCACCCGGCCACCAGAGGGGGTATCAACATTTGTCGTCGGACGCCGTGATGCTGGGCAACCCACATACAAAACATGACATGCCCCCTCTCCACTCTTTTTCTTCTTGTCGCGCTCTCAGCCCAAAGGCCAAGCCTCACATCCCTCCCTGTCCCGAGCCGCTACGCGGACAAGCCCCCGAGTCGTAATCCATCGTGGCGTTTCTCTTGGCCCTCTCCAGCCTCAGCTTTGATAAACGTTATATATAAAGCCCAACTGTCCAAGGGTTCGAGAACGACTACCATACTGCTTTATCACCAGCCTATTTCACCAACATCTGCTTGTGGTCTCGGACTCTCGTCTCGTTCCGTCCACTTCTCAGTTCCTCAACCACGCTAAAAAGAACGCGCGTTAATCCGATCGATCACCGATTAAAGGGAAACAACCACGAACAAGGAATTAAAAGACAAAACGAATAAATAAACAATAGAGAGTCGTCACCATGGCCGCCCTCGACCGCATCGTCAGCATGATACTTCGCGCAGCCCAAATCGGGTTTGCGGTTATTGTGGCCGCAATCATCGGTGCACACCTGCACCGGGCTGATTCAAGTGCCTGGAGCATGGCCCGCCTTATATACACAGAAGTTGTTGCTGGAATTGCAATCTTCCTTGGCCTAATCTGGCTGCTGCCCTTTTCCAGCACCTTCACCCACTGGCCCGTCGACATTTTCGTCAGCGTTCTGTGGTGGGTCGCCTTTGGACTGCTGGTCAACGTAAGTTCTGCTTCACTCTACACCTCTCGTCCGGAGTCCCAATTTTTGTGCTCGTTCACGTAGCTAATACATATCCAGCTCGTCGGAACATCGTGCGGTGCTGTCTTCGACTGGCAAAATGTCTCCCCACGCGGAGACCGTTGCGGCAAGTTCAAGGCCAACATTGCCTTTGCCTTTCTCTCCGCCGTTGTCTGGCTTGCCTCTGCGGGCATAGGTCTCTTCTGGGTTAGCCGGCACCAACGCCGGGACGCGTCCGCCAGAAGCCGCGTCTAATGAATCGTGGCACGCGCGTTTTTCGCTTGCAGCCACCCCCATGGGCCGGTACTGGCATAGTATTTTGTTTTTGGAGTGATTAGGAGAATGGACTTTGGTTGGCTGGAACTACGGAACCGGCCGTGATGGAGTTGTGGACTCTATTATGACTGGGGCGACGGACCACGTGGCGATAGGGAGTGTTTGGAGTAATGCTGTCCGAGATCGTGTGAGATGAGCCGACCGCTTGTCTCCAAGTATCCTGAGGTCTAAGTTCTTGATCCTTTCTTTGGGAAGCATGAGAGCACAAGCGATTCTCGAGTTGGAGGAGTTTCTGCAGGAATAATTTGCGGTTTGGATTCCACGTCGTGTTTCAACAATTTCGTGTTGGCCTATTGCCGCTCCTGGGCTACTGGACAACCCAGCTAGACCATTATAATAGACGGCGGTGTCTCAAATCCTTTTCGACGTGCTCCCCGTTACAACCGATCTTAATGATATGGATGCTGAAGTGGATAGGATGAGTACACGTTCTGATTTTGTGACAAATGCATGGACTCCTCCATATCCCTCGCTCCTGGGTCGTGCCTACAACCAACCGTCATCGGGGAAGTGTTGCTCTGGAAGTTAGCATCAATTCCCGATCGAGGGGGAAGGAACTGTGACCAGCTCCTCGCAGGTAGCCAGTCAATGCCCTGCGCCCGCGGCCTTCCATCTCGTCTTGGTGACGGATGTAAAGAGTCTTGACATGGCATATTATGAGAATATTTTACCGGTGTTGTCGAACGCTGCGCCAAGAGGGGAATCCATATGACTACATGTAACGTCATCTCTTCAACAAGCCATATGGCATCTGTGATCCGCATATGCCTTGCGTTAGTTCGAGGCGCCTTCTTCCAAGAGCCCCCCTCATACAGCACTTGAAAGCCACCGGCGGCCGGATATGTAGTCGTGATCTACACAAGCTAGCTGCGACGTTTACCTTTTGACCTTCACAGGCTGACTTTATGACCCTTTGGCTCTCTGTCCCCATACAGCGGCATTTCCCCAGTGATAGCCCGTCATCTTTGTGTCTATCTTAGACCAAAACGGGAGATCGCTTCGTTTCTTTTGCATTCGAGCCCGCCATCTCGCTGGATTATTTCACTACTTTATTTCGTGATCCGAAAATCCTGTTATATCGAAACCAGCAGTAGGAGCATTTTTGGTCCACTGCGCACTCATACTCGGAATTCAGTCTCTCCAGGCTGAACGTGCCAAGAATAGAAGCACCCAAAGACCTGGTACACTTGAAAGCGAAAGCTCAATCGCCTGCATCGGTATTTCCTTGCTTAAGGACGGAATTCCGGATCATGTCTCAACCCGCCGAAGTCGTCTTACGGCAGCATCCTTGCCGTCACACTCACTCCTTCTTGCTCAGAATGAAAAACACGCTCCAATCAGCCAAGTCCTGCATGGTTAGCCGGCAAATGAAAGAAATGAGTTGATGATGCTCCTTATCTTGCCCCAGGTGGAAATCTCAGCACTTGTCACCGCTCCAGACTGACCCTTTCAGTCCCCTCGGCATGTCAATCATTTCAAATCTTGATATCATCATCGTTGGAGACGAAGCTGTAGGTTCTTTATTTTCATGCCGCGCCAGGCTCGTCCTACGTCCCTAACCGAAACCAACTGAGATTGCTTGCGTATAACGCGGTGGTTTGTTCTGCTTTCTCCGTCAGTCGCAGTAAGAGCATGAAGCCCGTGTAAATACCGCTCTGGGGAGTTTCACTCTCCTTTGTCATTTGGTGTTCTTCCTTCTCTTCTTCGACAAGTCCTTTCACTTCCCAATAACTGCCGGCCAGGCTATAAATCAATGTATGTTCTTGTTCGACCGGTTTAACAAGGCGATAACCTGAAATGGTCGTGGCTCTCGCCTTCCACATGGCGTCGACTGCCCCGGTCAGGTCATTATAGACGTGCTAGAGTGACGTGGCCAGCACCGATTTATCATTTGCGTTGACTCGCCATTATCCCGCGCTTCGGCTTGCAGCCCATAAAGAGCTATATAGCAGGAGTAGCAGCCCAGCTTGCTAGTTCCCTGAAAAATCCGTCGCCGGAACTCTTTAACGTACCTAATTAATGCCTGCTATAATCATGTCCCTAGAGTGCGTGCGTTCATCAAAAGTGCTGTCCACATGCATGGACAGAGAAGGAGTGAGAATGATCTTGTTGTTGATGATGTCTCTCTAGCTATAGATAGGAGTGGAAGACTGGATCTTAGACATAGCTGGACAGGGGCCCACCTAAGTGTAGAATCTTGTAGAGACAACCAATTTCTTCCAAGAAGAAGCCTTCTCTCACTCACCCAGAGAAGGGCGAAAGGCAAAACCCTACTGCAAGACGTTTTCCCATTGCGGTGCGGCACGAGGACCACGTCGCATAATTTGGTTGGCATCCAGCTCCAGTTAGGGTAGACTCTGAAAGCGGGACTGTTCTGCGGTATAGGCAAATTCCCCAAGAGGAAGCCTGACCCAAGTCGTATCCTCGGTCATAATTCCAGCACTGCCAGCGTAAATGGCAGAGAGGGCGCAGAGAACGGAAAAACGCCACCGGCGCGGTTGACCCGGCGGGCGGCGGTTATATGGGTCGTTGAGATAAATTGGGCGATACTAAGGAATAGGTATGTAAGGGCAAGGAGGCCAAGGACGACAAGAACGGCGATATTGGTGCGGAGGGCGGCAATAAAGAAGACAACAGTGAGGAAGCACCAGATGATTAGAAAGATGCCAAGGGCGAAGCTATAGGCGCGCTCGTCGCCCTTGTAGGCTTCTTTGATGCCGAGGGAAGGGACGAGAAACATGGCAAAGGCGAGCCAGAAGGCACCGTAGGAGCAATGAACCGTGGTGCCAAACGTGTTCCCCACCCGGAACTCCATGATTCCAGCGACGAACTGGGCGGTTCCACCACAGAAGAGGGCGAGGCCGAAGACGGCCTGGTCTGGACCGACACTGCCGAACGAATTGGAGTCGGGGAGACTGAGTGCCAGAAGTTAACAGCGAGTGAGGAAGGCTGGGGGGGAGAAGACAAAACAAAGACAAGGTCAAAATTGTCGGGAAGAGGCATGCACTCACCCTGCACCGCATAGGTAGAGACCGAGAACAAAAGAGGTCATGGCGAAGCTGATGAGGCCCAAGGGACCGGGGTTGGCAACCTTGAAGAACTGCGGGTCTCTGACTTGGGACACGGTGGACTGGTGAGGCCTGCTGTGGGACACGCCGTTGCCAACTGCCGCCCCTCTTTCAGTATTGTGGTAGCCGTCTATGTAGGCCTTCTCATCACCATGGACGGGAGAAGTTCCAGTTGTCGAAGCCATGATGGTCGTCAGCTAGCCTGCCTGCCTGCTGATACAATGGTGGCCGGCACGCAACCCAGCAAGAAATGTGAAGAGAAGTTAGACTGTACTGGGCTATGGGCTTGGTCAGTCACGATCCGGTGAGAGAGCAGGACGGACTGGACTCGGCGACCGCTTCTTATACGCCTTGACTAACTGGTGCACGGCTCTGCTTAACCAGCAGGCGCGGGGAATCCCAGTTTTGCGTGCGTTGGTTCAGGCAGATTCGTGTGCCGGTTAGTCAAGGCGAACAACGGCGGGGGCACAAAGCAAGGACGATAACTCGTCAGTTCTCGAAGCCGAACACTCCATGTCGCCCGAACCTCTCGAGCGGTGTTCACGCGTGAGGATCCGTCCCTCAGGCCCGCTTCCCGCGGCTGAGAAAACAAGCTTGTAAAGTGGCTGCTTACATGGCGCCGCTTTCCCTTGACCGACCTGAAGTGTCAACGAAAGGGGGCGGGACGGGGGTCGAAAAAGAGTCCCGAGGTCGTGGTCCTTGCTCAAGTGCCGGCGTCAACGGCGTGGGGGCGGGACCAATGGCAGCGGCTGTCACCCCACACTCCTGTCGGGGCTACGGCCATAGCCAGGAGGCGCAAAACAGAGCCAATATCGTGATAATGAGAATTTTGTCGGCCTGTACGGCCGTCGACTTTGCAGGCTCGGTCGTAGTACAGGGGCTTACAGTGGGCTCATATGGGGAACTTTTGAGATGCCTTTCTCTCTCCCTCTCTCTTTCTCTCTCCCTCTCTCTCTCTCCCCTCTCTCTCTCCGTAAGCTTGAAGAGTACGCGGAGTGCTCTGGAGCAAAAGGCGGTACCCGGAGCAACACGGAGTCTTCGGTCACCTGCGCCCCACTCTCCACTTCCCAGTCCTGCGGATATCGCGCAACTACGTCCACGTAGGCGCCCCTACTCGCCAGATTTACGTAAAATGGGATCGGTCTCGAGTATTTGTTACCTAAGTATTGCTGTCTCTTCGTGCACTAGCTCTCCTGCCCGCTGCTGCCGCTTCTTGCTTACCAGTCTACCTGATGCCTGCGGCCTGCGTGACCTCGCCGTATATGACATGGTGTGACGTCTCGCCGAAGTGAGATACAGGCACTATTAGGCAATCTACCGGATTCCGACAATGGCTTGCTCGACTTACACGGACTCGTAAGCTCCACGTCAATGCAAACTAATCAACGACCGGGCATAATCTTCCGAAATCTACAAGACAAAAAATAAGATGGTATTAAGTCGATTTGCAGTCTTCTAGCAATCGCTATTGGCTGTTAATCCGCCGCAGCCGCCCGGCACTTCGACTTACCACTACCATCTCCCGAGCTGCCAGTCCAAGATGAAAAGTCGTGGTCGATGAAAGAATGATGAATTGTTAAATTTTTTTTAAGAGGGTGTGGTTGCTTTGCCTCTTCAATGCACACATGAGACTGCAGGACCCCAAGCTTTCCAGCATATCCATCGACAAGACCGTCTCTTCGTTGCGCCTACTTATGGCCTCCTTTATCTGATCTCGCAGGCCTTCATTGCGAATTTTCGGGCTTCGTTTCTAGTGCAGTTAGGGACATATGCTATCTATAAAATTCTTCCAAAGACACTGCCATTGCCTAAGAGATTTAGCCAAGACGTCTGCACCCATCTATGCAGTCAGAGCCCACCGGCGCGGACTTGGATACTCTTTGCCCGGCATTTCGGGCGTAGCCAAAGCTGGTGGGTATTAATGAGCAATGGATCTTGGATCTGTAGGCCTAGCTCTCTAAGCTGCTGGCTTGCAAAAATAGTTTCTTTGCCTACTTCTGATGGCGCCGGGAGCTCTGCTTCTGTGCTGGAGGCTGTGACGGTTACCTTCTTTGAAGTTTCGTTGCATGCCTGCCATAAATTTAAGCACACCAGGGTTTATAGATCTCCGTCTGTCGAGGGAATGCAAGTCTAGTAGGACCTTGAGGCGAAACCAACTCAGCCGAATCGTTCAATGAGCCCGGCGCACAAGAGGCTATACCGGCGTATCCTTGCCGACAATGTCACCTGACAGATGAAATGGTCTTCGAGGTAGCCCCTGGTGCAATTCCAGTCCATGGTGTGGCTTAGCACATCCAGGCCGAAAAGCCACCGCCCATCGACGGGGTATGCTTGAACCTCGTACCGCGGGGGACGATCTTCAGGTTACCATCGACAGGCAACCAAACTACAATGCTTACGGTGCCTAACAATTATGGCAGGCCGATAATTAAAGCATGTACATACCTTTTTCTGCCACATACAGGGCCGTAAGCAGCCCGGTTTCTCTGTCAGGACTCTGGCGCCCGTCCCTGCCCGACCTGGGCAGGACATCGAGCTGCCGCACCTCACGATGAGGGGGTTGACGCCAACATTGGACGGCTTGCACGGCTTACGGCTCACTCCTGCACCCCTCTTGGCAGTTCCCGTTACATAAAAGATTCGCAGGTAGATACTCTAACTTCGACTTTGCCCTTTCACTTGCCGCCGTTTCCTTGTACGCTTGCATCTTGCAACCGCTAGTTAGCCGCCGCAGATACGCTGACAACAACCTCATCCACGTTGTCCCTTTTTTCGAAATCATTTTGATACTATTTACCACACAGGCCACCCGGGAAATCCAGACAAGTCGTCGCATCAACGTCGACGGCACGTTGACGCCATCTTGCCGCGTCGACCGGACCCTGTCTTCCACTCTTGTCCTCTGGGACAGCGTGAATCGATCTCCATACCAGAAATTCCCAAGTTGTTGGCATCGCCGCCGCTGCCGTTCTGCTATCTTCAAAGGCCGAGTCTCCGGGGTGTTTGCCGCACAGCGGCTGTCTTCCTCTGGGGTTCATTTCCTAAGATGAATGGCATAACAAACGAGATGACCGTCGACAACGAGCTAAGCCTTCCCGGGTGGGACGATTCAGACAATTTATTCGACTCCTTATTCGACTCTGCACAGGAGAGATACCAGAGTTCGAAAGTCTCTACCCGGGACAGGGTCTCCCACGACGCCCAGCAACCCAAAAGAAAGGGCGGCCGCAAGCCTGTGAGTTGATTTCCCTGCCCTGAACTGGGCGTCCGCCCCAATTTTCTTCAGCAAAGTCCCACAATAGGCATGAATTTATTCGCCTTACCAATCAACTACGTTATGCCATTCTCACGCACATGAGAAACACATGGGGACTGAGATGATGGTCCTAGATTTATGCTACCTCAGAGGAACGCAAGCAGAGGAACAGGCGGGCTCAAGCCGCTTTCCGGGAACGCCGCACCGAGTATATCAAGCAACTTGAAGAGACGCTTCGTGTCCAAGAGTCCAGTCTCCCTAAGCTCCAGACAGTCCATCAGACTGCGGCGAAGGAGTGCCGAATGCTTCAATATAAGAACTCACTGCTTGAATGTATCCTTCTAGAGAAAGGTTTCCGCCCCTCCGCGTTATTTACTTTATTAATATAGTCGACTAATATTCTTATTAGGCATCGATGTTCAAGCAGAACTTTACGCTAAGACGGACAGTCCTAATCTAGGGTTAACCCAAATACCCGTAGACTTAGTCCAACCAGCTCCGATTCAGAGCGCCACCATAAACAGACACCGTCAACCATACAAACACTGTCAGTTATCCAAGTCAGTTTCTAGTCGCTTAGAAAACAGAGCTTGGGGTGACGATGCTATCCCGAGCGTTGTTGCCTTATATATCTGCTTTGTCCCCGAAGAACCGACCTATCTCTTACGTGCTAACTCATCCCCTTCACCTCCTTAGCCTTTTCTCCCGCCCCGCTAGATAGTATCTCGAAGGGCAGATCAATAGCGGAGCTGCCACAACGGCTAATACCAACATCGACAACAAAACCAACCGCGAGATCGTATACGATGCAAGCTTCAGGAGGCCGCGGGCCCTTGATTGGCAATGGGGCATCCTTGTACACCACTCCTGCTTTACAACTTGGTAGGCGCACAAGCAGCTGGCCAGCCGGCTTCCACGTTTGGCAATTACACCTTGGAACTAAAAAAAGAAATTGGCTTAGAGAGCGAGCATTGCGGGTCAAGCAACACAATAGATGATACCGAAATGGATTATCCTACTGGGCAGAGCCTATACCCTTCAGATTTTACCAGCGACATGCTGTCTTCGCTTACCTCCCCTGTTCCAGGCCACCATATCTCGCCGTCACACGAGCTGGTCCAACGAGCTTCGGTGTCAAATCAATCGCTAGCTCCTATGACGCAGTTACTGGACCACAACATGGATTGGGATCCTACTGCATATCACGACTACTGGTACCTGCTGTCTTGAGGAACGAAAAGACGAACGGTCCTTTCTCCCATGCCCTGGGCGGGACTACTACCGCGCCACTTCCCCTTCGTTTCTCCTTCGTCCTTCAAACTACTGGGTGGCGGTCCCCGAGGGGATCGGTGTCGTGTGTCTGAACACTGCCCGTCATTGCGCCACGGTTTCGCCACTGCTTCGCTGCAACGATCAGGGTATATATTATTACACGAGCGTGTGTATGCGAGCCTTGCTGTTTTGTTCTTGACATGACTTTCGTCAATTGACTGGTGCTATCTAGATTGCTTGCTAGGCTGCCGCTGTGAGCAGGGTCAAAGACTAAGCACTCATCATTCCTGACTCCCATCGTCATGCGTAAACTATGGCCTGCACGTCGCACACAGGACCACATCCGTGCTCCGCGTGTATTATAAGCGAAGGGAGGCTCTATAAAGTTTAACTAATTATACGACGAGTGACAGTCGCGTTTCGGACCCCCGGGAGGCCATACGGTATAGCAAAGCGGCTAAAAAGGCTGGACGATCGTGAAATGGAATAAGATATATTCCACATTTACATATTTAATCCATTGATCGTAATGGCTCGTCATGAAAGAGTTCAATGGAAAAGCTGCCCTCCCTTGATTATATCAAGTCCATGGCGACAACTCTGGGTTCTTTATCTCTCCCTGCCTGTTTTCTCTCGGTATGGTCGAAACAAGCTGAA